TCCTTGCAAATGTTTGGCCTGATGATGAGTTGCTGAAAAAAATGTTTGCCATGAACTGACTTTTAAGATTAACCATGGGAATATTTACGGAACTTACACAATATCCGTTCTGTTGGGGACCGTAGAAAGTTACTCCTGTGTTTGGAAATATAATCAAAATCGAGAAAGCGCAGCGAGCGAAGTCTGTGGAATGCAATTTAAAGACATACCTAACAAAAATATTATATGGGCCATAATAATCAAGATATCGAATTGGAAAAAGAAAATTACTGCAAATTAGAAATTGCTAATAGCCTCATCGGTTGCGGAGAGTGAAGGCAAAAAGTGTATTTGACAAAGAATGGTCATTATTTTAATGCATAGGATTGTTTTCTTTATCATAAAGTAAGGCTTCTACACATTGAATCAACAGCCGGCTTGCCGACAGTACGATACGGACACTTCCACGCAATCAAATTGTTAGGTAGCTGTCAGGGGAACGTTGCAAATTTAGTTACGAAAATCAGGCCATTGTCGGGTTTAAACATATTAGCTGTCAAATTGCTTAAGAGATTCCTGTGAAATAACACTCTGTAGTGTCACGGATGAATGAGGTAGCTATGTTGGTTGGCCCCTCCATAAATAAGGCGAAGACTAAATTATTCCCGAGCTGCATTCCCGATCAGGAGAAGACACCCCTGGGATTAATGGCCGTAAACTTGACGAAGTAGATGGCTTTAAATACCTCGAGATGAGGCTTCCGCCAAATGAACAGAGTAGGAACGATATTTCTGACATTTTCCGACATCCTCCGAAAGCGCCTATGGCTTAGATGCGACATCTCCATCGCTGGCGGAATTCTTACGGTTTGAACGAAGTTTGCTCGAGCTCAGGTTGAAAAATCGAAACGGGACGACTGAGTTCCACCAGGGATTGGTGAATATTCATCAACGAATGTCAATATTCTCGATCTAATCGGGCAATACGACGAGCCCGTGGCTCAATGGTTAGAACGTTGAACTTCTGATAAATAGGTCACGGGTTCGAGCCTCGGTTGGTGAACCAATTTGAGTTGGGTAAGGTTGGAAAATACGGCTAATGAGCCAGAAATAGCTATTCAAGTTTCTTTTGTCTTTGGTGCCACTAGCTGCTGTGCGGCTGTTGGCGGGGCTCGGAAGTGAGCTTCAAGGCATTGCGGGGCGAGTGAGTTCCGTGAACGTTCATCAGAGAAAGTCGGAATATTAACAGCGCGCAGTCTTCAAATTATATTGAAGCATCGTTTTCGCGGAGGCGATTTCAACAAGACAGAGATCACTAGATTAGCAGAATTTAATGACGACATAAACTTTGTGACCTCTCATTCAGCTGCAGACGGTGGTTGCCTAGTATTAAGAGAATTAACTGTCCAATTAAGTGTCAGCCTCGAAGGGTGAAACCTGATAGGTAAAGGGAGTAGAAGCAATTAGCAGTAACAATTAGAGCGTAAATTCCTATTCAATGGACAATTGTATCGTCAGATCGATGGCGTAGCTAAGGACAGTCCATTAGGACCAGTGCTAGCAGATATTTTCATGTCGAATCTTGAACGAAAATTAACCAAACGCATAGGAAAAACTGCTTTTTATAGACGATACATGGATGATAGTTTGTTGTAGTCGAACACCCTAAGGAGGGAGAACTGCTGCTTAAAGCTATGAACGAAGCGCATGTAAAGATCAAATTTACGATCGAGCATGAGAAGCAAGACACACTGGCTTTCTTAGACGTGCTTAGCCGCAGGCGCGCAGATGGTTCCCTTCAAAGGTCCATCCGTCGGAAAACCACGTGGAAAGGGTAATACATTCACTTCCTTGGTTTCGTTCCAATTCAGAGGAAGCGAAACTTGGTTTTGTGCCTCTTCAATGCAGCTGTCCAATTAACGGTCAGCCTCGAAGGGTGAAGCTTGATAGGTAAAGGGAATAGAATCAATTAGTCATAGATGTGGGCACATAGTGAGGGTTAGAGGAGGGGGAAGGCAATTGTCACAGCATGGTAGTTTATGTTAGTGCATGTTCATGAAAGCCTGTAGGCAGTGGTTAAACAGGGGGAGGGGTTGGGGCGGAGGTGGGGGGCAGGGTAACAGTCAGTCCTAAGGGTGACGAGGAGGCGTAATTAGGAATGAGTTTAACGATCGTTACAACGGCAATGCGAGGTTGATCACATGGTCCAGCTGCTTACAGAGTTCTTTGTTTCTTCTCCGTATTTCAGCGGTCTCTGCAAAGCGTAAAGAGACGCCTGGTCGTTGCCCGAAGTTCGATCTTAAATGCAGTCGTTTGGTCGACTGTATGGCCAATGTCCACTAAATACTTTGTGATTGAACTCTTGGGTACTTTATGTTCCGCC